GGGGGGGGGGGGGGGGGGGCTGTGGGGGGTTCCAAATGTATAGTAGGGATCGCTTCTTGTTTTGTGTCTGGTTTGGGTCTAAGCCTAAGCTCCACTCTGCTCTAGTTGGTGGGGTACCTTCCTCCTCGTGTTAGGCCACCAGTATGCCAAAATTGTGCCAGACTCCGTCTGACACCATTTTGCGTGCAGGTGCTAGATACAGGGAGCTAGTGCTTGTGGGATTGTACCAGACCCTCGTTTCGTAGCGCAACGGGCTTGGGGTTCGGCTCCAAATTCATGTGCGCTACATTTAGTATCAAATAAATTGTCTCAGCGATTCCTATCCAACTTTTGTCGGATTTTCTGACTCAAGTTGCATATGCAGAGACTTTTCTAGTAGATCCGAAGCGAACTATGTAGGATTAGTTGGATTGCATCATTTGGAAAGAACGTTGTGCATGTTCAGTTATTGATAGAGGCATGTATACAGCTAGTGGGATGGTGAAAAGGAACCGTGCTGATGATGCTGAAACCTCTAGACGGGTGAATCGAGAGGAGGAAACTCCTGTTAGAGATGCTACGGAAGAGGCAGAGGCTAAGTCTGTTATGATCCGGCGCAAAAAAAACAAAGATCTCGTTGCCCTAGACTATGCTACGCCACCTCTTGAGGTTCCTCACCACCCAACCACCCCCGAGCTACCTCAAAAGCTCCACTGCGCCGCCACTCCACTGTGAGCCCTAGGGTAGGTTAAGTCCCTTACCCTAACATGCCTTAATATACCCTTGAGCCTCCCTTTGACCGACGTTGACCACGTAGTCAAAGCTGGCGCCTAACAATTCTTCCCCCCCCAACAAAGTCCTAGTCCCAAGGACGAGTTGTACCGGTGATCACCCTTTCTGGGGAATCCTGCTCAAGCTCCTAGTCCATCTTCCACAGCCGTATACATCAAGGAGGCATTGGGCCCGTCACTCCGAGATAGTACACCTTTCAACTGGCTGACATAAAATACCGGATGAATTTTCACCCCAGCTGGCAGCCGCACCCGATAAGCCGCTTTACCAATGCGCTCCAGCACTTCATATGGACCAGCATATCGATGGGAGAGTTTATCACTCTTCCCTATCCGTAAAGGCACCAAGGTGTTCCGCCGCTCACTTGACGGAAAGATCACTCGCACAAAGACGAGATCACCCACCTTATATTCCCGGAA